AGAATAATAGTACTTGGGCTAATATGATGGCCCATGATGTCTGTAAATTATAAAGGCAAGAACAATAGAGCAAATCCATTGTGAGTAAAATAATCTTTCCCATAGTAATAATAGGATCCTCTTCAGCTCTACTAGTTTGAGTAGAACTAAAGAACAAGCTTTCTTAAACTGTTGCTATCTCTAAGGCCTTGTCTACGTTAGTGTTTTTTGCACTGCTATAGGTACATAAATATAAATCCACAGTGTTGATGTACTAAGAGGTATAAAAATGAGGATTGTATTAGTTATTTCCATTTTAATACCACATAGCTCCTTAGATGTAATAATCTAGGTAGCTATGTGCATACAGTGTAGAAAATCACGTAGAAAAGTTCTTTATTATTATTAAGTTATTATTATCAGAACTTTATACACTAATGGTTCAAAACAGTTTAGTAATTCTATTGTAAGATGTGTTGTGTAGTACCTTGTCTGTCATTGTAAGATGTGGAATTCAAGATTAATATTGTAGTTCTGATTCATATAAAGGAACTTTCCTATTGGGCATGATATCATGTTTTATCTACTGTTCTCCAAAACAGTGCTCAGTAATGGGAATGATCTGGAACCATTGGAAATGCTAACTATATCTTGTTTGTTAAATACCATGGAGTTAAATATTATTATTTTAAATAAGGAAGTCAACAAAACTATGAATACATGCTAATAATGGGGAAGATAGTCAATGTGCTTGAAAGCCATGGAAGAAATACATAGGTAAATTTGGTATACATTTCAGTTTTCATTCATACCCTTTCTAGCCTAAATGTTCCATTAAATAGGGCATAGTTCCTGCAACACAAATGAGTCATTCCCAGGTTCCCTTAAAATCTATGTAACCACATATTTTGGAAAAGCCCCAAACCCTTCAGGTAAAGCAGGTTACACTATATTTTAAAACAATTAGATCTTATCAATAAAGCCACACTAAAGAACATTAGATTTGCCTAAATTACCAGCAAATGAATAGCAGAAATTGAGAAAAATATTTCTTAGCTCAGTCTAGAAAATGAAAATTATTTTTCAGTCCTATAAAGCAACAATTGATATTGATTGATTAAAAAATTATGACAAGCTGCACTTCCACTGATTACATTTTGATGGAATTTGATCTTTTAGTAACTTAGTTTTCTTTTAAAGTCTTTTAAAAGATTATTAAAATGAAGAACTGACATTTAAGGATCAAGTCAGATGCTCTTCAAACTTGCCCTGCGCAAGGCAGTTGGTTTGTTTCAGTCCTGCCTAGACTCATCTGAAGTGTGATGGCTTTGTAGTTGGGGCAATTTTCTGTTACAAAGGCATTGATTCAACAAGATACTGAACAGTAGCCTAATTTTAAGGACGTTATGAACATGCATTTTCTTTTCTTTTCTTCCACATTTGCAAAACTTTCCTCCATGATCCAGACCTTACCCCTGCCATACACATACTTATAACCATTGGGTTGCCCTAGAGCCATCCAGGAAAGTGCCTTTTGGAAAGTACTCAGAAGTTTCTGTGATGAAGAATGCAGTGGCTTGCCGGGGTTGCCACTGACCTGCTGTTTGAGGTTGAGTGAACCATATAATTTCATGTGCTGCTTTTCCCACTTCTTCCCTCTCTGTCTACCCAGTTATAAGGCCTTTAAGAGAGGGAATGCTTCTGACTGTGTGTAAGAAAAGTGCTTACTATAATAGAGCTATAATATTCATTGGGGTCCCTGTGTGCTAGTTGGTAATAAGAATAAAAATAATGTATGGTCTGAGACAAGTTACCTGAAACATAACAAAACATTTCTCACTACAGGAACTGGGAATCTCTTGATGGGTTAAGGTCTTAGATGCTGATGGCAAAAAGTTGTCAGGCAGAAGGCAGAGTAGATTTGCACCTTATGGACTGACTAAAGAAGATGGTACCACATTTCTGGAAGCTATTCCCTACAGTGGTTTGCTAACCTCAAAATCTAATGAGCTTCAGGTTTATCCACATGCTGAAACCAGAAATACTTAATGATGGCAATGAGGCTTATTATAGACCTTAGATTCTCAACCAGGGTATTGTGAGATCCTTTTCAGGGTGCACAGGATACCATGTGCTATTACTACTGTTAGCTGTGGAAACACTTACATATGATTCACAAGATACATCCAGATATTTCAAATAGGAATCCAGAATCTCAAAAACCTTCTGACCAGTTGTGGTTTTTCTGAGTTCTTTGCAACAGAAGAATTGCTTCATTATCTATCTATAGTCCAAAAAATGAGTGAAAGCTAAGAGCTGGCATTTTCTGAGCAGTACTTTGAGTTGGGTGAGGGGTCTTGAGTCTAAAAATGTTGAGAACCACTGGCATAGATCCTAAAATGGTTCACTATAGGATCCATGGTTTAGGCCCAGGTATTGTGTGGAAGGGTAATTTGCTATGCATTTCATCACTTGCTGCAGAACTGTGCTCCATAAACTATGCACTTGTTTTAACAGGTTCTAATCATAAAAGGTGATGAAGAAATCCTTCCAGACAAGAACCAAGTGTGCTATCATACAGTGTTTTCTTTTCTGGACTGCAGGCAGCCAAAAACAATAGCTCTCAGACTTATCGACTGTTTGGTGAGGTGCATCTTCAAAATATTTCATAGATTTCATAGACATTTGGACTGGAAGGGACCCCGGAGGATCATCAAGTCCAGCCCCCTGCTCCAGGGGCAGGAAGTCAGCAGGGATCATAGGATCCCAGCAAGATAAGCATCCAAATGTGTCTTGAAGGCGTTCAAAGTGGGTGCTTGAACCACCTCCGGTGGCAGTCTATTCCAACCCTTGAGGGCTCGGACAGTGAAGAAGTTCTTTCTTATGTCCAGCCTGAATTGGTTGTGGCGGAGTTTGTGACCATTCAATCTTGTCATCCCTTGGGGCGCTCTGGTGAACAGACGTTCCCCCAGATCCTGATGAGCACCCCTGATAAACTTATAGGTGGCCACCAGATCACCCCTGAGC